ACAGAATCTCTCCGTGTGAAGAGAAAAAACTATTAAAAATGTGTCCAAGGCCGAATTAGGCCAACATCCATTATTTATCAGTATGCAAAAGAGAGCAATCAAATATCGATTAAACCTGAGAAACAGCAAGCAGAATTTGAACCAAAACAACACAATTAGCTGAGCCCAGAGAAGAGCCCCCTCAGCCAGCTGGTCCTGAATATCATTGACACCAATCAGCCTCAGGAAAGCAGAGCTTCAACAATCAAAATCAACCAAATCACAGCACAAACCAAACAACACTACCTTACCCACTGGGGCACACACACAAACACAACACAAACTGGAATGCTACAGAACCCTTAACAGAAATACACACTAGCTGAAGCAGCAAGGAGAAACAGACGCTGACAAAGTACAGGTTCAGTGACCACAATCTAGCCATAAAAACCGAGCGACACAGGCAAACCTTGCTGCCCAGAGAGGACAGGCTGTGTTCCAACTCCCCGCAGGGAGAAACAGACAGAGATGCACTTTCTATTTCATTGTGACAAATATTCTGGGATCAGACAAATATTCTTCTCAAAAATAACAAATCTAATCCCAGACTTTCCATACCTGCCAGAATCAGAAGAGTTCCCAATCCTACTGGGACAGGAGGGAGGGAATTCAGTTGAGACGGCCACACAGTACATGATCTCCTGTCACAGCCTGAGGCACAGTGAGCCTGTCTCTCAATAATGCTCTATTTGTTGTATGTAAATATACTATGTTGTATTTCTATTAGTAATGTACATAGATGTTGTATTGATTGCATATGCTTAGGCAACACTGTAATTTACCAGTCACGCCAATAAAGCTGTTTGAATTTGAAACCAGAGCACCCAGGGGAAATCCACACAAACATGTGGAGAACATACAAACTCCATATAGATAGCACCCCAGGGCCGTAATTGAATCCAGGGCCCTAGCACTCCAGAGCTATGTTGGAGCAGTGCTGTCCACTGTGTCACCATGCCTCCCATACAAGTTTAATTCCTTGATGTAAAGAGTATAACTTTCGATTTTCTTTTTATTGCTTCCCCAGATAAGGTTTTCATTGATCATTTTTTCAAATTCTGTGTTTCCCATCTTCCCATTCCCTATCTGATTATTTTTTCTATGATCTTACACGTAAGAGAAGTGAGACTTACTAGCCTCTAATTACATGGTTCAGTTTTGTCACTCTTTACATAGATGGGTGCTATATTAGCAACTTTCCAGCGAATGGGTGTTACACAAGTCCCAAATGATTTTGCCCATCCCTTTCTGCTGAGTAGTTGTTGGTCTGTGGATTTATTGCTTTATACCTCTTTAATTTTAATATTAAACCATTTGTTTATTCAGGTCCATTCTCCTTATTTCACACATTGAATGCAGAAAGGTGAGTACTTTCATCTCTGTAAGTATGGAATTGGAATCTCGTATTTTTTAATGTATTCCAGGACAGATACTGAACTGAGTGAACCCACTGAGTCAGGTCTTTTAGTCCACTGACGATGACAGGATGTGACAGGAACACTGTGGTTTGATTTTAACTCCATTTCATGCATTTTTAAAAGTAGGAATGCCATTTCAGTGGCAAATGATTTAAATAATAAACTTTTTGTTTTGAATCTTTTTTCTCAAAATAACTGTACTTTATAAGCAAGCGAAAAGGAATTCTGAACTTAGTGTCACAGACAAAATTTAAGAGCTGCAGAGTAAAACCTAAAAAGAATATTTGATTTAGACCTTCAATACAGCCTTTAAAAGACTTATATTTTGGCATTATTTTATACCTGTTGCAATTTACTTTTAAATATTGCCTTGGGAAACCATTAGAGGCATTTTCTTATGTGTACACTGTGTATGATGTTAGTGAGTGTCAGCTTCATCAAAGTCAGCAGCTGTAGTCTCCTTCTCATTAAAAACCTATTCTGTACTAGAGGGATTCCTCCTAACATATTCACTAATAACAGCTGCCTGAAGAAGATGGTCTCAATGTAGTCTGGAGTAGCATACAAGCCAGTAAACAGACAACACTACTATAATGACATTTATTAATGCACATCTTATACTGTTATGGAAGAAGAGCAATGATGCTGTGTATAACATCCTCATCCTCCAGTTAATGTGGGGAAGCAGTAAAAAAGGAGAAAAAATGTTAGTCAAAGGCGTAGAATTTAAACGATAGTTTGTTATTTTAATTTTGTGTAATGCATTAGTAAGACCTCATTTAGAATAGTGTGCATAGTTGTGGTCAGCATGTTACCGAAAATAAATCGTTGCTCTGGAATCAGTCCAGAGAAGAGCAACCAGATAGATTATTGGGTTTAAGGGAATGTCCTACACTGACAGGCTGAACGAACTGGACCTTTTTTAATCCTGAACAAAGGAGACTATGAGGGGACCTGAGACGGGTGTCCAAAATTATCAAGGGCACAAAAAAGTCAAGACATCCTCAGAATGAACAGTGAAACATGAACCATAGGGCACAAGTGGAAATTGCTCTGAAATGCTGAAACTGTGACTGGATGGGAAGAATGACCTCCTCTGTTTTGTAACTGTGCTTTAAAACAAACCAATACTACTGTAAGTAACCTGCCTAGATATGTTCCTTTTTAAAAGCCTTTGGTTACTTTTAGGGTTAGGTTTGGGATTCGGGTTAGGGGATTCTGAATTGATAGTCAGGTTTAGGGCTATTCATAGATTTGGAATAGTATGCATAAATGTACAGGAGTGCTCAGTATCTGTGCTGGCCCTCACCTCAAGAGAGTTCTCATTTACCAGCCAGATAGCTGTGGGGGTTGTCACTTTCCCCCATAGCCAGTTATGCACATTTCCTCAGAAAAAGACTTGTGTAGGCCAAAAACTGAGTTGCCGTGTGGAGCTGTGGGGGCGTGACTGTGAGGGGCCAGCGGGGAGCAGTCCAGTCGTGTTGTAACAGGAATTCCAGGTGCTCGCTCAGGGGGGGCTTCAACAGTCGTGCACCATGCCAGCCTGCAGGCAACTAGTTTTGCGCTGGACTCGCCTCTGCAAGTCCCCCCAACCCCACTGGCCTGGGAACCCGTTCCCACCTGCTGTCTCCACGTCCCACACCTGTGAGAGCACGTCCAGCTCTTCCACTGCGCCGTCGCCGTTAACCATCGGCCGCGCCGGAGCACTGTTTAACACACAACAATTACCCGTCTCTCCGGATATTTAATTGGAATGCACAGGCAGCACGCTTGAACATTTTGTTCAATGTGTCGCTGTCACGCCAGAAGCTCCCCAGAGGGCCGCCATCTCTCTTCAAAATGACTTTTGTTTTCAACCTTTTCATCTTGCTCTTTAGAGATAATGATCACTTTTTTAAAAAGGGGTTACATAAGGCATACCGTGTGTCAGACTGGACACTCATGGTTGAGTGCTCCTCATCTTTCTCGGGGTTCTGAAGAAATTTGAACCTCCTGCCCTCACGCTCCTACTCTGTATACCTTCAGTTCTAGTGTTGCGTTGCTGCAGTGTAATAAAACACTATGTACATTGTTAGTAAAACATTGCTCCAGATTGTCTGGCCACAAGTGGACATACTGTATTTAACTTATTTGCTTCATTGCTTTAACATTTATAGCGACTGAAAACAAAATCCCTAAAATTAGGGAATTATCCCTGAAAGCAGCAAACCTGGCTTTCTGGATATATTTTTTTACAATTCTCCTAATTTGTAATTTGATAGAAATGAATATATATATACAATAAATGTCTATGTATATTACACAGTATATATGACTGCGAACTATAAACAAGTAGCTTTTAGTCCCACATTTGCATGTACAAATTGATGAGCGGCACATGTTATGAGATTGTTAAATAGCAGGAACAGTTAAAAAAGGTGTGTATGCCAGTTTGTAAAGGTGGCTGTGTTATCTAATTTTCATGGGATATTTTAATGCATTTCACGAGGCACCATATTGAGAAAAGTTAAGAAAGCCTTCCAGGCTTATAATATGGCTTCAAGTTGTCTGTTGGGTTTCACATGAGCCGGCAATGCTGTTTGTGGACTTAGTAGAGAGGCTCTAGATGTTGTGGACTTAGTAGAGAGGCATATATGGGACAGAATTACATAACAGATTAAATATAAACCATATGTTCTCTGTGCAGAAAAACTATATCACACTATGAATTCCAAAACACAAAGGGATCATTAGCAACATGTTCCAGGCTCCCTAGGTAGTGAGATACCAAGTCTCCAGTTTTGTTTAGTTTTCAGTGCTGTTTCAGTGCTTATTGGAAAAACAAACACCAACTTTATTTCTATTTTATGCATAGTTGACGTTAAACGATGTTTTTTTATTCGAAAAACACTTTTATAATTCATCCAGTTAAATGATGTCCAGATGTGACGTTTTAAGAAATTCGTTTTTCTATTATTATCTGCTGTATGTATTTGACATTTCGGCTCATTATTACAGTTCATTACTAGCAGCACATATGTTAAGCGGAAGACGCCTGGATCAAATTGTTTCCAAGAGAATAATGTAAAGAAAAACAGATATGAACCTTAAGCTATTTCAAAGATTAATCGTTCTAGCAATGTCCAGATCATGCAATGTCATACGTCCATTTACTACCGGCAATCTGAAGGCCAGTCTTTTCAGTTCTGTAAAAGATGTTTACAGAACACATATATGTTTTAATAAGGCCAGATAACGTTTCCCTTCCGAAAACGCTGAACGGGTTTTTTTTTTCACCAGGGGTCAGGGGAGCGCTGACTTGAAACAAGGCACGCGCGATTTAGTCATAGTCACACCACCAGTGTGGCCGGGTATGCCCTCCCCAAATAAAAAAGAAAACACCACATGGAAAATACATTGAAACAAAAATGACGGAAAAAAATGGCAACACCCTCCAGCCAGAAATTCCCGCTCGTCTCAGCCTTCTTCAAAACGTGAACGCGCAGTCACATCCCAGCCTTCCTGCTGCGCGCACGCTGCGTGCGCGGTGACGTCACGGCGGCCGCCGCTGCGGGAGCCATGTTGTTATTGCCCGTGAAGTGCTAAACTAGCTCCTGGGAAAGAAGCGAGGTGGAGGTAGGGGGGCATCAGACAGCGAGTTTAGTCTGTATCAACGGAAGGAGTAACAAGTGGCTTGGAAGTTTCAGCCAGAAGCTTAAATTGGGTAGGTGAGTTTGATTTGTTCTTGCTCAGTGTGCGTGTGTGCGCGCTGGTTTCTAGCGTTGCGCTTGCGAAAGTAGGGGTTTTGAACTTCTCAAGTCATTTTCTTCCTAAACTTCACTACAACCAGCGACACTTGGAAATGTGACAGTGAAGGGGGGGAGGGAGAGAGGGAGGTGGGGTAAGGCAGTGAAATTGAAAACGAAGTTGCTGATGTTTCCTTTTCGGTTTGGGTGCTTATTGTGTTGGATTAATCGGCCGAGGGGAGTCAAGTTACAGAGTCGCGGGCTGCGAACTTGAGTGAAAGAAACTGGAGACTTGAAAAGCTGGAAATGGATGCAGTGCTTTAAAGTGGCGAAATCGAACACCATTCACGAAGGCTGGGTGGGGGTGAGATTGGGACCGAGGTGATCGGTCAGTATTTCCACATGTGTCTGTGAATCATTCGGGGATCAGCCCGGGATCTTTGACAGGGACAAGTGGCGATCCCGTGTCAGCCTCCCAGGATAGCGGCTTTGCTCGAAAAATCAGCCGACAGTTCTGTCGGTGGTTTTAAAAATTCTGTCTAGCGTTGTCCGAAAACAAAACAAAACAAAAACGTGTCGTGTGAGCCCGTCCCTGTCCTGTCACCAGAGATTTAGCACGCCTTTCCGAGGAGTGTCCCTTCATCTGGATGGAAGGAGGCTCGTCTCTACAAAACTGCTTGCGCTCCTGACCTGGACGGGGTGTCCGCGGTGTGATCGCCGTGAGCAGAGTTAAAAACACCCAGCACCGCGTCTCCTCTCGGGATATTGTCGATATGACCCGCTCGACTGGGTCTGGACCTGTACCGTGAGACCTCCTGGGCTAGTAAGAGTTCAAAAGCACACTCTCTGGACCTTACGCCCCCTGCTCTGTGGAAGCGCGCTTTCTGCCTCTTCCCGAGCAGAGCCGGACTTCAGACCGTGTCTTCAAATGTAACTCGTGATGGAGTTTGGTCTGGCTGTCCAGCGCGTTTTAAAACAGCCGGTATGTGTTGGACGTGGTATGGTGTTGGTACTGTATCTACACTGCTACACTCGCCACGCGTCTTAACATCAAGGACCCCTGTGAAGGATTCAAATGTGCGTTATACAGTATATTGGACTAGGGTAAGGATTGAAAAGATATGCAGAGGATGACGATTTCAATGAGAAGTTTTGATTGGTGGTGGTAAACATTAACCAGAGCCCTCCTTCGGCCGCTCTTTTGCATTATTTATGTGAAGCATACGTATTGAGCCATGTCTAACTTAGCGTAGATAGGGTTTCTGTAAAAAAAAAAAAACAAATCTTACCGAGACACTTTAAAACATTCTGATGAGGCAGGCACCTGTGGGAATCAGTTTTCTCATCAGTATCGTGGTGTTAAGGTGGATATATTGAGAGTCCTCTCATATAATTCATCGACCATCTTTCACCAATTTTTTAAAAACTTCCCCTAAAATAATGCTTATGACTCGCACATCAAAGCTTATTCTAATTTATGGGCAGTTAAGCTTGTCATAATTAGCATGTTTGGGGTACTTTTATGTTTGTGCAGTGTCTTAACGGAATTATTTGAGATGTAAAAAGGTTTATAGCTGACTTTTCCCCTTGTGTGCACAGGCAGTTTTCAATGCACATTTCTATACTAATAGGATGGTGGTTGTTTCTTTTTTCAGTTGATATGAGCATGTGAAACTAATGTATAGAACATCTGTTATCGATATCCTGTTCAGAACCCAAGACAGGTTACAAACGAGAGGGGGCGTTGAAAATGAAATCTTTAGTCTAGCCAGGCACTGTCCCGATGAGGTGATGGGATGATACGTTTTGCTGACAGTGTACATTCATGCCCTGCTTGTACAGCAGGACCTACAGTAATTAGCATGTTAAGAGTTTGAATGTTGCCCTATGGAGTCAAGACTCTCTTGAAATCTGGAAGAACACAGAAATGCAAAGGAAACAAATTAATGATAAACTGTTGGCAAATTTTACAGGTCAAACTGAGATGAAAACTGTGATAGGACACTGAAAATTTTAAAAAGGCATGTTGGTTAATTGCTCAAAAGATGGGGAAATTCTGCTACTACTGTATAATCCTTTTCAGGCTTAGGTGGTTCAAGACTGCAATTACATTTTAAAGTTTTAAGTGTCTATAAGGCTTTTTTTTCTCTCACACCTGGTCTTACATACGAGTATGGACTTTTTTAGATCTTTGTACACGTTTCTAAAATGTAAATATATGTTCCCATCAGTATTTTCTGTATGTTGTTTACTGGATGTAAAAGAGGCACTTTACCTTTCATTTGCTAAAAAAATAGACTTTTATTGACAGTAAAAATATTTAGTTATTGTTTATGCAGGTTTAAAGGAGGATCCAGAAATAAAGAAAATTGTTTGAATATATCATAAATATTGATAATTTAATCATTCTGACATATTTCTAAATGGAACCTACCGATGCTTTCGTGTAGATTTGTGGAACGGTGAGTTTCTTCAGAGCAGTTGTAGTCCTGAAACCTTAGATACCCACCAGCTCACCAGCCACCACTAAACCTGAAACAGTGTGGGCTGTTTAACAGCATTTGGGTTGACTAATTAATTGCAATGAGAAGGTGTACAATTGTACTGTCTGGTGTCCCTGAAAAGATCTGGTCACAGTAAAATTTTTAAGAAGGGTCAAGATTCTTTACCTGCTTCACTGGATTGTTTTGAAAGGGGAAACATTTTTACATGCTAATTTAATGCTGTGATTTTCAGTAGTGCAGTTAAAAAACGACTGTATGTCTCTTAATAGAAACCTCAACAGGGAGCCACAGTAGAGAGGCATTTGTTAATAAAATTGACTTTTAAAGTAGTTAAGAGTCGTGTGTACTGTTCGCATACATAGTTAGATGAGTTTGACAGACTAGTTTTTGGTTTGCATACCAATTATGTAGGCTTTACTGTGTTAACAGGAATTATCCTGTGCATCTTAATGTTTCTTTATCATTTTTCCAGTAAAATTAAATTACTTTGTCTTGTACTGTATTTGACACTGCATTAGAATTGTGAAAGACTAAGTTCTGTTGCTACAGCATATCAGAGATATTTCCCGATTCACTAATCCTACTTCACAGCATTATGAAAGATAGACACATTAATACTGTATGATGAATACCTCTGCTGTACAAATGGCTAAAGCACACTAGATTTGCACTTTAACATATTCTTCTGTACTTTTTAATTGTCTTTCCTTGCATTATTGTAAGTCCCAGAGGTAAAAGAAAAAATCTTAAAAACTCCCCTGTGTTCAAATTTTTCCAAAGTATCGTTCATAATTTTTGTCCTTCAAAAAGTCAGGCATGGTTTCTAAACAGTTAGGCAGTGATACATTGTGGTCACGGTCACTTTGATGTGAAATCACCCTCAATATCTTCTTGAGGACTTAGTGTGCTCCTGTTGATAAGATAATGACACCAAAAAACAAGCGTTTTCTTTGTCAATAATGCAGGAAGTTATGACACAATAAAGGCGGAGTAGAGTCCTGATGAAGTCAGTATTTGATGTCCTGCATGTTGTGAGTGCGGAAGTCGGGCAGGCCTGAAAACCACAGTCTCATCATTTTTCCTAGGATAAGTCTGTCTGCATGTGCAACGTTAAATCAACACCCAAGGAGGAGCAGTAATTGATTTTGCATAGTTGGACCCAGTTGCTTCCCATCCAAAGAGTGCTCTACTGAAAGCCTAGGCAGTGTGTACTTATAGCCTTACAAACATTAATTATAAGTGTATATGTTCAGTATTTTTATGATTCTATAAATCGATATAGTTTGCTGCGGTTTTGTCTCTGAACTTTTTTGAGGCTCCTTTTTGTTTTTTGCAGACTTGTACACAATGTCTTTCTTTTTATGGTTGATCTTCCTATCTGTTGTGTTCCTTTACATTCTCAGTTGTCTGCCACCCACCTGCTTTATAGTTTTCATTGTCGATTATTAACATATTTCCAGTCTCTCACCTTTATGTGAGGCCTTCAGTTTTTAAGGTGACCTTTAATGTGGGCGTTTTTCCTGCATGAATTAGTGCGTTAACGTACTCAAGCTTTTACTTTTGTGAACAAAAATTCACTTTTCACGTGGTGAGTGTGCTACCCGTTTCTCTGTTGCAAAAGATTCAAGTGGTAAAGTGTTTTCAGGTGTCTTCTAGAGAAAAGAAGAGCCCTGTGCAGTATTTCCATATGAGGGGATTCTGAGAAGATAAGAAAGGTGACAAAGGCCATTTGCTCAGCAGGTTGCTATAGGTAGTAGCTGATTTAAGGATCTCATCCTGGTATCTTGAGTTTTCTGTAACTTTACACTCTGTGTGAAGAGGTGCCTCCTGGTTGGTGCTAGTGTCAGCATAATACCTTTTCTTATCTTAGTTTGCCTTTTTCTTTGGGGAGAAAAATCATTTTCATAAGGAAGTTCTTCACCTGTATCTGAAAATCCATCTGAAACACTGTATTGTTTCTATTGGTATCTAGTGGTTAGAATTCGGTAGTTAATAATGGTGTTGAGCTTTTAGGGTTGTGGGAGTCTGAAACAGGACATGTTGTGGAAGCCAGCCCCCTGACTTCTTTCAAAAAGCAACTAGAGGCCCTCAGATTAATTAGCTGTTATCTGCCAAACAGGCTGGATGGGCCAAGTGGCTCCTCTCATTCTTAAACTTACTTACCTGCCAGCAGCCATGGGTGGGAGACCTTCTGGGGAAGAAAAAGGTTGCTGATAGAAGAGGTGTTAGTGGGGCCAGTAGGGGGCGCTCACCCTGCAGTCTGTGTGGATCCTAATGCCCCAGTGTAGTGACGGGGACACTATACTGTAAAAAGGTGCCATCCTTCAGATGAGATTTAAAACAGAGGTCCTGACTCTCTGCGGTCATTAAAAATGCCAGGGTGTTTCTCGAAAAGATTAGGGGTGTAACTCGAGTGTCCTGGCCAAGTTTCCCATTGGGCTTTACTTATCATGGCCTCCTTATAATCCCCATCTCTGA